AGTACTCGCAAAAAAAGAAAAGTTATTTTCATTAATGTTTGAGCCATATTAATCATTAATATCCCTTATCGTTGTGTCACGTCATAGGGAGCTAGCGTTTTTCAGAGGTAGTTATTTTGATCTTTGAAAAAAAAAATTGTGATGATTTTAAACTCGATTTTAAATATTGTTTGTCTGTATCAAATACTATCATTACATAGAATGGTCAAATTAAATATATCTATTTTGTTACAGCATGTCTCACTTTAACAAATTTGGACCGATATGACAAACATTCTTCTGGACAGTGCCGTGTGGTTTTATATAAATAAAAAGATGTCGATTTTATTTTCATGTTCTGGTTTCCACGAAAAGAAATATCCTGTAATGTTCAGAGAACATCGTGAGAACCAAGGGAAATAAGGTAGGAATTGGCGTTCTCCTTGAATATCTGGAGGTTATATGCCTCAGAGAACACCTCCCTTGGCAATGTGTTTCAAAGCCTCGCTGTTCGTTGAATGACGAGTCTTTAGAAAGAGATGTTCTGCAGGTCTCCAAAGGGACCACGAAGGGGTGCGAAGCCTCAACTCGACGGGTTAATCTCGCGGGGACTGCCAAGGGAGGAACAATTGTTGATATTTCAGAAGAGCATCGTTTATGAAAATATCGATGAAATAGAGCCAGATCGACAACTTTTTTACGTTGTCCCAGAGAAGTGAGTGAGTTTGTGAGCGAGGCATCACCCACGAGACGAATTGCCCTTTTTTGGACAGAATCATAGTACGATTTTTTTGCAGGAAAACTAATTTCATGTTATTGTTTCTCATGCTTCCGAACTTCCATTTGCAAAAAATCACCTCATTCCGAATGAACAAGATTGGCTTCATTTCTATCATTTTCTGACTAAAAAATAGTTCATTCAAATCAAATGGAAATTTTGAAACGTTCAATAGCTCCGGTAGGTAGAGTATGATGATTTTAAAGAAAAAACAAGATATTCTATTTTTTGTTGAACTCACGAAAATGAAGCTCCAAAATATACATGCTCACTCACATGAACCTTTCATTTTCACAAGCTCTATAGAAGTTCTTTGCTGTCTTCAATAATGAACCCTGTAGAAGCTGTTTAAATATACGAAATGACCCTGTACACACATTTTTCGTTTCAGTTGGAAGTCCAAAAACGACCAAAATGATCTATCAGCAATCAACCTAGTACAATTACCTGTTTCGGAAACATTGATTGGTGATGATGATGAATGTTCAACGAATATGTTGTTATCTTCAGCTCACCTATAGATAGTAGCACCAGAACGATGCAGCTCTTCATAATATCCACCGTGTATCGCACTGAACCACTGAATTTCATCCAAACAGTGTTCGTCCACAAATCGATCCCGCTCAATCGATTCGAACGTATTGACGTAATCAAGTCACCCGATTCAAAATCAGAAACAAATGATCGTCTTCTCGGCGGCCATTAAAGTCATACTAATTATTAACGATATAGACATTCTACTTTGTCACTCATCAAACCGTTTATTTTTAGAATATGATAAAATGTTTCTTGATTTTTATTCTGATTTAGATTCCGCAATCAATCAAAATTGCAACACTGGACAGGATCGGTCCCAGGGCATCATTTGACATTCTTTTTTATGTTCTGGTTCTCACGAAAAGGGATATTCTGTAATGCTCAGAGAACATCGTGAGAACCAAGAAAAATGAGGTAGGAATTGGTGTTCTTCTCAAATTTGGCAATGTGTTCCAGAGCCTCGCTGTTCGTTGGATGAACGTGTCTTTGGAAAGAGATGTTCTACAGGTCTCCAAAGTGACCACGAAGGGGTGCGAAACCTCAACAGGGTATCACAATTTTCACAGTTTGATCATATACAGGGTGGTCCAGGTTGAACTTCATTAATTTTGATAGGCGATAGAACAACGGGAAAGAAGTACGTTAGACTTCCATGAAGAAACTTTGGTTGAAAATGCTTCCTAGCAACGATACAGGATGTTTTGACACCTCGATTGAGTTGAAAACACATAAGTATTATTGGAAGCCATACTATTTACCGCTTGTATACAACCCTTCAAATTCAAATAAGTAGGTATCTCAAAAACAAAGCCATAAATCAAAACTTTGCAGAGGTATTTTTATCATTCAAATTGAACTAGGAATCTGAGAATATCCAGTGATACAGAAGATAAGGAGAGGGAGAAGGAGAAGTCGACCCCATTATCTACACCCACTGGAGAAATTCTTCAAATGATTTCAATCACTACTCAGGACGTGCAATTGCATTTTAAAGACCGAGAAAAATCCAGTTATACAAGTCTCTATTCAAAAACATTCTATAACTGCTGAATGAAACATTTTAACCACGAAATGTCATCTGATGGACGTGAAAAGTCAACGTTTTGAAAATACTTCCTTTGTTTTAAAAAGGTTACCTCATAGATTTGAAGTGGAACAAGATTATAGTTGAAAGATTAAATTTAAAAGATAATCATTTAAGTCTTAAAAGATGACATTTCACAGTTATACATAATATATTGTATATATTGTTTTGATATTGTAATGATATTCCCCTTGAAGGGGCTCTAGAAACATCAGCAGGAAGGCAGGAGTACAACAATCATCCTGTAACACGCATCCCAGATCGTTCTCCAACCTCCCAATGATTCCTACATGCCCCAGCATATTTCCGAACACTCAATATATGCCGCGGTGACAAATAACGTGACAGAAGATTCTGGAATGTTCTGGAAACAATCCATGGAACAATCAGAGAGAGAGGTATTGTTCTAAGAAGCTTCTAGAACAAAAAGAAGGAGACGGAAAATCATTCGAGAACGTTCTCGAACCAAAGCCTACCAATGGATCTCATATATAAGACGGCCGAACAACTGCGTCGGTTAGTTAAGCAGCGAGTGTCAGAGAGACAGTTATATACCGCGTGATATAAATCATTTTAATAAATAGTAGTTATAAGTCCGATATAAATTATTGTTTCTTTAGTTCAAATAAATCATTTCGAAAATAAATAGTGTCGTGTTCGCTTTGCACCCGAATAACGTAACAATATTATTAAATTCAGTAGTAGGTACATTTAAACGAAGTTTGAAAGACATTTTTCATTTCTAATGTGAAACTAATATTTATATCGTATCAAGTCCATTTATAAAAAATTCAGCTAGAATGAAATAGCGTTTACTTTGAATATTTCATTTGAGCCGGCTCTGGTACTGGCGAATGATCTTCTGAATTGATCATTGTCCTAACCAAAATGGTGCAATCTTTTTCATAATAAATATAGATTTCTGCTAAATTGCTTTATGCGTAGATTGCCTTGAACGACATTTTTGTCGATCTATGTTTTGATAGAAAGACTAGAATTTAAATTGACTTTATATGGATTTGTTTGATATTCGAGTCATTTACAATTTATATCATCGCAATTTTCCCAGAATACTTACTAAAACAACACCTGATAGTGATTTCATACATAAAATTTAGTTAAACTGGTATTTTATTTATATTTCTTACATCTTCATCAAGTCACTACCGGAATATATATAATGAGTTGCATAAAAAAACAATTGTCCTAGCCGGCATGGAAAGTATAACTATATACCTATATAATTATGTAATTGAAACAAAGAGAAGAACTAACAGAAGATCATGCATTTTAAATATCTACTATGACAATTGGAATAATTCGAGAGATAATTATCTAAAGAAAATAATACATATGCACAAAAAGATATAGTTCAAATACCTACCTATAAGAAGATTAAATAAGAGACTTGTATTAGTTTGGATGGTTGCCAAAAAAGCCTTGTAGAATCATGTTCCTCGTATTTAAATTTGTTCAGGGTTAACAGAAACACAATATAACAATGAATAATGTAATTTATTTTCAAAGTTTTTTTGAAAAAAAAAGCTTTTCTTCAATTAAAGCATGCTGTATGTGGAGTCAAAAGTCCTTCCTCTCTCCTACGGCATTTCTCTGTACTTATTCCTAGAGTTCCTAAATGTACTTGACACTGCTGTTTTGACGTCAAAATAGCAGTGTCAAGTACATTTAGGAACTACTTATCTCATTGTAGACCATCATCTTTTGGAAGTAAAAATGCTGGTACCTTTTGTGTAAATCAAATATTCGCCTATGCTAAGCACCAAACCATACTCAAAATACAGGGTGATTTATGCTTTAAGGTACCCAATCAATATTTTGAGAGAATAATACTAAGCAGAGAGAAAAAATTACTTGAAGAAGTCGAAATTTACTAATTTCCGACAGAATATTTTACTAGAACTAGAAAGTTATGGATTAGGTTGTGAAATGCATGATTAGGACCTCAACATTATCTATGAGAACCATCAACTTTATTGGCAAATTGCATAGTTGGAAACTACTCATTACAGACTTCAAACATAACTTCATGGTGCTAGTGGGCATTTAGTTATTAATTGGGTGATATTTAACATCGAAATTACCAGTAAAATGTCTTCAAGGCACTCGAACTTTCAGGATATTTATTGGAGTTAAAATTCACCAGATACTAACTTCTAAACGTTCATATAGTCAGGCAATGATCATCAGATGGAGAAAATAAGTCGGATTTATACTCTGTGTCAACTATTTTTTACCAATCGAGTCGAAGGAGTTTCTTAGACATTTTTCAACCTAATTAGCACCAACTTCATGTCCGATGAAGGCAAGATTACCACTATGAAGTCCTCATAGAACGAAGTGTCCTTGAGTGAGTCGAAAATGCATATAAAAAAGTTTGAGTAATATTTAATGTAGTTCCCACTCCTGAATGAAATTTTGGAATGATTCAATTTCAATGCATTGGGCATAGAAAGTTTAGTTCTTTTACAAAATTTGATCTATGCCGAAACGCATCACTATATCACATGGCGTTTCGAAAATATTCAAGAAATATAATCTTCAGGATTCCCCTCTCAGGAGACATTTTTCGATTCATGTTCATTGAACTTTTTTTTTTCTATTTTGGTCGTAGAAGCCGCAGGTGAAGTTTGGCAGGCTAATTTTGGAACACCCTGTACAGTGTGGGAGAATGTAGTTAGCACTTCTGTACTTCCCAAGAAAAGTCACTACTGAGAATTCTACCAATATAATTTGGAGAATTATATAAGTGATCCATTTTCTCAACTTAATTCAATCCAAACAAACCTGGAAAATAAATTGCATGACCATTTTGTTCCAATTTCGGTTTCAACAAATATGTATTTACCATATCAAAACTGGAAATAGCATCATCATGTTGATGCTCTTCTTCCTTCCTAGATTTAGAGGACCATCTCCTAGCCAATCTCCTGACACTCGAAGGTCTATTCCTGAAACTCGGTCTCAGACAGATCATCTCCATTACAGTTTCCTGCCTGTCCAATTGTTTTGTTGGGTGTGCCATACTTCGAGGTTCCCCTACCATGGAAATGCCCATGTCTACGTTTGACTCTGAATGACAAACATGCGTGCAAATCTTACTGCTGGTACTCTCCGAAGACCATACCTAAATAAGTCCAGAGAAAAAAACAGTTTGAGCTAATCCAACTAAGAACCTATTAAATGTTGCAACAACTGTAAATGCAACTGTCAACTCATCATACATGAGACCATTTTTTGCAAATGCAAATGTAGATTAGGCCTATTTACAGCCCAAACTTTGAAGAAGGTTCTAATCAACAGATGCAACTATAAACTACCTCATAGCTTACAGTTGCACCAAAAATTTACAAATTGAAATCAGAACATAGGTAAGTCACCGATGCAAATAAAAATTGAAACCTAATTTATAGATCGAATCGTAAATTAGAACCGGGCCTAATTTACAAATTCAACTTCAGAAATCGATAAAATGATAGGTTCTAATATACAGATGCAACAGTGAATTAGGTTCTAATTCACAAATACAACTGTAAATTAGGTTTCAATTAACAGATGAAATTATAAGTTATGTGAATTCTTAGACGCATTTTTGTAAATTATATGGTAATTTACAGTTGCAACTTCATATTAAGTAAGAACTTTATTTGCAGGTGCCACTGTAGTATATTCAGCTCAAATTGTGAGGAAGGTTCTGATTTACAGATTCAACTATAAATTACGTTATAATGACAGTTGTACCATAAATTCACAGCTTGAATTGTAAATATGCATTATCTGTACCATATAAAGGTTCTATATTTTAATAGATGCGATAGAAGAGCCATCCGCCTAGTAGGTGATGCCACACTCACTAGTTCTTGGACCTCATCAGAACACCGTAAAAATTCGTCGACCACTCACTTTTCTATAAATACTACCACCAGAAATGTTCCTCAGGAATCTCTGCTATCATTTCATCACTATAGTAATACCAGTTAGATGAACTCGACATGCCCAGTCAGCACATCCATTCGTTACTAACCTTGAGATGTGTAGAACAACTTTACAACTTTACCAACACTAGTTCGTCTGCAGAACGGTAAAGCTTTGTAATTCTTTGCCACTGGATGTATTTCCCAAGAACTCATGTAGTTATGAATGAGATTAGTTCATAGATATACAACTGTAAATTATTAGGCTTCTTTACAGCTCAAACTGTGAGGAATGCTTTAATTTACAGATTCAATTATAAATTACGTTATAAATTAAAGATGTATAATGAATTTACAGCTCAAATTATTGTGAATTCGCATTTGCTACAATAATTTGCAACAGATGAGTTCATAAATCAGGTAAGTTCATAGAAACAACTGTTAATTATAATGCTGATTTGAGTTGCATCTTCAAGAATGGTAGTCCCAAGCCTTCGATGGAACTGTACCATTACTGCGTATACCTTGTTATTTTTCTCCCTCCTCCTTTGCAAGTAGCTGCAGCTGCAGCAAATCTTCCTCAATTCTGCCCTGAACTTGGGATGAGATAGAGCGTAGACGTAAGAGTTGAGGCAACTTGCAGTCTTGCAGAACAGAGCCGGTACCATGGAGGAAAGTGGGGTGATCAAGTGTTTTTGGCCAAAAATTCCTAATAGAGCCACGATAGCGTAAGGGGTCCAAGATAGGAACCAGAGGAGGACGGTGCCGAATACCACCATGGCTAGCTTGATTTCTTGCTTCTTGCTGTCATCGTCTTTGACGTGTCTGAAGGAGTCGCCTCTTCTCTGTGACATGGTTCTACAGAGTGACCCATTTGAAAGAGAGTATTTTATTTGCGAATTTTGAAATTGGTATCCACACAACGATAATTCACTATCCAGTATGAGAAACAGCGTTGCCGTCTCAGCCGATTCTTTTAGCTTGTTTGGATATTTCTACATTCATTGCTCTCAAGATTTGACTGATTTCAACAATGTCATGAACGACGTCGTTCATTATTAAAATGGCAAGTATACCAGATTGTATAAACCTCAATAACTTATTTTGTTAGTAATCATATATCATATCAGTCATTAACTACACCAATATCAAATCATCTAAAGATACAGTTCACAGTTGGATTGATGCGAAAATAGAGAGATATTTACTAGATATTTCTTTAAAATAAAACAGCTGACAACACAGGAAAAGGGACTATGACGTCAGTACTGGACAGACGTGTTTGCCGCCAAACGCTACGTTTAAATGTGCCATGAAATTGTATTTTATCAAAAATTAATGAAGATCCAAACTCACTTCTCGTTACCTCTAAAAAATATTGCCTCACAATCAATCCATCTGAAACGGTTGTCATGCTTTTTGGCCGAAAATCTATCCACCTGAACAATAAAACTCTCTCCCTGACAGAATGTTCTAAAAACCTAGGCTTCATAATTGATCAGTCCCTAAGGTTTTCGCCCCATGTTTCTCTAATTCTGAAACGAGTGTTCTGTAACTTGAAAAAAAAATACTCTAACAGAGAATTCTTGAATAAACAACCTAAGAAACTTCTTATGCCCTGATGGTACTATCATGCCGTTACCCCATGGTAACGGCCATGCTTATTATGCAGATACTGAATATATATGGTCCTAACCTACTTTAATCTGACAAAAGAAGATTACAGACCTTACAGAACTCGTGCGTAAAACTCATAACAGGGACCAGGAGGCGACAATCTGTTTACCACCATATGAGCGACCTAAATTGGCTGAGTATGGAGTCGACGGATATTTCATTCATGCATTCTATTCCATAAAATAATTTTCACGAAGATTCCAAGCCATCTTCATGATAAGATGGAAGTAAGATATGGTGCGCGTATTCGGTCATTATTACGTATTGAAAATTTCAGAAAAATCACTCGACCGCCTACTATGATTACTCTTCAAAACGAGCGAGACGTTGATTCTACATTTTCCCGGTAGATGGTGATGCTGCTATTGCTGCTGTGACGAGTGGAAATAAAATGGTAAATGACATTTTAGGTACGCGGAACATATGTAACAGTGGGATTATTCAACTCTGAATTCGAAAAATCTGCGACAATTTCAAAAGTGACAGATGTCATGATTGTGCAATGTCGCCATCTATTAGAAGATCGACGAAACCATTGCTCTCACTGTTCTCGAGAGGTCGAGTAAAATTTCTGAAACAAAAGCACATCAGTAATTACACCATATCTTACTTCCATCATTATGATGAGATAAGCTTTAGAACTGACATTCACAACTTGAATCTAAGATTCAAAAAACCCCAGTCTATAATACCACTCTCTATCGCGGATCATTTACCTATAATACTACCCGGCTATATATAATCGACTCCCTAATACGATGAAATCACTTCCACTGCCTATTTTCAGATAGTTATTTATTATACAAGGGAAAATATAGTAGTAGATTTTAGCTCCAGGTTGTGTTGTCTCCCACGGGAAAAAAGTAATTTATGAAAAGTGCCATTTTATAACCTGCCAACAGAGATGAAATGCCAAACTTTTTTCCCGTCACAGAAAAAATAGTAGATTGTTTTATTAGGATCAAAAGTGACACTTTGTTTGACAAGCGAATTTTGCATTTGCGAGGCGGAGCGTTTAGCGAAGCCGAGCGGAAGCAAAATTTGCGAGTCGACCAAAGTCACTTTTGATCCGAATGAAACATGCTATTTTTTCTGCAACCGAAACAATTAACTCAAATAAACATGTGAAGTAACCACCAATGCCGTGTCATATGTATGCAATGCAACAAATATTGACAAATAATCCATGTGGTGAGAATATTCTACCTGCATTAACAGCAGGTTAGGTTTTCTAGGATGTTCGAATTGTATTTTCAATATAAATACAACCACAGAGTGACATATTTGTGAATGGACCAGGTGCTCTTATGGCAAATACCGCGCCAGTGCCAGCTATAGGAACAAGACGTGGAAAATGTTAGGTTAGTGAGCATATCAACAACAAAACAATGATAATAGTGATTATTTATTCCTCTCCATACTGCACTGTGTTTTACTTAATAATCAAACGAAGCTGAACAATATCGTTGTTTGAGACAAAAAAACTATTGCTTGCCGTGATTATTCAAAAACAAGTTATCCATCCCGAGAATAACGAATGAAATACAGATCACGCAAGTATTTGAATCTTGAAGGCTTCCCTGATCAAAACAAAAATACTTAACTGAGATGTTTATAATTCCAATACTGAACTATAATATGGTGTATTTATATCTCCAGCATGGGTATGAAATGCCAAATCTGCTGAAATCGGAAACAAATCAGATATGCGTCTCAACCCAAATAGCCAACCGTCACAATGTAGTTTATTCTTGATGACGTCCAGTAGATCCTTTTAGTTCCTAGGAGCTAAAGTTCAACTTTAGCTCCTAGGAACTAAAATTCAACTTTAGCTCCTAGGAACTAAATATGTTGCCTAGCAACATACCTATTTTTATGTCAGTAATAGAAACGTCAATTTAAGAGCTAATTTTGGTATCAAAATGGACGACTTTTGTGTCGGTTGCAGAAAAAAATTATTATTATCTGACTCACTTGGTGACAGATTGCTTCAAATCTTGAATTGAGTGTTTTCTATTTTTTTTGTTTTTCATCATTGTTTGCATTGTTTTTTATTATTCATAATCCGATATGTACTGATGGTTACCTATTTCAAACATATTAGTTCACTATTTAATTAGATTGCACGAATTTATTGTCCCCAGGTTGAATGGAAGAGCAGGATCTGAGTGAGTTACTCACGTGACAAGGTTAGATCCTGAATTCTGCCTTTTGATAGCAATGTACGTTAGTTTTTTTTTACCACGAAATAATGTAAATTATTGTAAATCATTCGTTTTTGTCAATAAAATCTATTATTATTATTATTGAGTCATGCATTTCTGTGCACTAATTCATCCACTGATTTTGTATAAAGCAACAAACCTGTTAGTAACAACCTTCAGAATGTTGAAATAGCTGAAAGAAATGAGGTGGAAAGGTACGACCCAAGCAGCCACGAAATAAACGAATATAAAACGCTTGATGGACCGGTCTTCCGTCAAATAATCGAAGCTGCAACTCGTCAGATACCCCTCGTAGGTGTACTTCCCCAAGCCGATATCCAGGACCGGAATCATCGCGAAAAAAATTCCGTATATCCAGGCGATGCCCAGACACAACTTGATCCTGAGTGCAGAGAAGCTTCTGTTCAAAGGGTACTTGATCACGAAGTACCTGTCGAAGGATATGACGCTTAGGGTGATGATTGAAAGGGTACCTGTTAGACCCCCTAAGAAGCCGTAGATTTGACATGCTGCAAAGAAAACAGGAATTGGAAAAACTTCTTGATCCAATACACTAGGAACACAAAGTATGTACCGGGTGTACCACTAATAATGCTGCTATTCTGCCGACCATCTATGTAACTCAAATATTTATGTAAGGTATGTACGATACAGAGTCTGTAACAGACATACTTACAGAATCTGTTGATTTAACAGAGAATGGTATTCTGCCAAACACTCAACCCCGTGTCGGAATTTACGCCTGTCCACTTACTGAATATTTATTATTGATGGCTAACTTCATAGCTACTCATTAACCTCATATTTCAGGGTTGGTTTCGATATCTTGGATAATTCAGAAGGGTAATTATCTATATCAATTATATATATCATTGATTATTTTACTCTTGTACAATCTGTAATTGACCTTTTCTTATGGTTATAGAATTCTTAAATTCGACAGATATTACGATTAATAACAATTTTCATGTCTTATAACTTCCAGCTTCTGCTAGAATCATGAAATCAAGCATACGAGGATTTCTTATAACATCCATATTATTACCTACATAAGTAATTTAACAATTACAGTGTGGAATAATCGGGTCCATAAGAATGTTATACATACTATGTAATGTCATTCTATAGAAATATATTGAAATCGCACTGGCAGAATACTGATTTCCTTACATTCTATGAATATGGAATTATACATATCCTGCAGAGTCTGTACTGGAGTGCAGAATAGCAACATAAAGAAAGGACGCCGGCTGTATCTTGGAAACCATCTGCCGCACAGGTTTCGGAAAAAGATATTTATGATAAAAGTGGCCAAGAAAAATTTCTGGAAATTATTTTCAAGTTTCCAGGACAGCCGCTAGAGGGCATAATTGCATTGGCCAACTTAAAAAACGGGTTTCTATGAAAATTTGATAAATCAAGACATATCATAAACACTTTTTCCATGTTCTCGAGTTGATTTCCAATCATTTCGTTCAAAAAAATTGCGCTAGCTCTTTGAATAAAAGAGGGAGGGAAGGATGAATAGTACTCTGGAGAAACTTTTATTACTACAGTTTGGTGTAACGGAATTAAGCGATCTTGGTCTCGTTATGAAGGGTTTTTTCAGATCTTCACGATAAATCTCGAATCAAGTCGATTTAAATCCCGTGGTGGCGGCTAGATGACATCGTTTGAAAAATCAGCCGATTTGCCATTTTTTTTTTCGAGAATTTCAAATGGAACCATATATTTTTCCTGCTATGATATGAAAGTGAAGTAAACGAGGAGAAGAATGGTGTAAACCGCGAGTTGATACCTCTTGAAGAACCGGAGAAATTCTCGGAATAATATTAAAATTTAAACTGTTAGCATGTCAAATGCCTCCTCATTTGTTATCGGCATTTTGACAAATAAGCAATCCACAGTGAAAACTTCCAATAGAACTCCAATTATATTTAACGTTTCTTTCATTCAAAGCCAACTTGCCTTTTCTCAATCCTGATCCTATACTCACTACTTACATTTCAATTAGCTATGTCATTACTAAGAGTCTCCTTCACTATTGTGAGATATAACAGCAGTTTGTGAAACCAAAATAAATGATATATTGGAATCATAATTCCATAGATACAGGATATTTCTGATTACGATTATTGAAGTGAGATTCCTGTTGTGAATATTTTCATAATATTATTTCGAGTATTTCACCAGTTCCTCAAGAGGTATCAATTCGCGGTTCTCACCATTTTTCTTCTCGTTTGCTCTACTTTCATATTAGAGTAGAATGAATATATGGTTCCATATGGAATTTTCGAAAATAATGGAAAAATGTCTGATAATTTAAACGATGCCATCTAGCGGCCACCACGGGATTTAAATCGACTTGATTCGTGATTCATCTGGAAGAACCAAAAAAACCCTTCATAATGAGACCAAGATCGTTGAATTTCGTTACACAAAACTGTAGTAATGAGAGCAAGCGCAATTTTTTTGATCGAATAAATGATTGGAAATGAACTCGAGAATATGAAAAAAGGTGTTTTTTATATGTCTTGATATATAAAATTTTCATAAAAACCCGTTTATTGAACTGGCCAGTGCAATTACGCCCTCTAGGGGCTGTCCTGGAAACTTGAAAAACTTGAAAATAATTTCCAGAGATTTCTCTTGGCCACTTTCATCATTCATATTTTTTTTTCGAAACCTGTGCGGCAAATAGTTTCCGAGATACAGCCGGCGTCCTTTCTCAGTGGTACACCCGGTACAGGGTGGCGTCCGGAAAATACTCTGTTTTTTTGGACGAGTAGACAAAATTCTAGGCCGAGCTGTAGACGAGTCCTGGAAGTCTGCGAGTCCAAAAAAACTGTTATTGGACGTGCTGCGTATACTATTTTTTCGGCAACCATGTAGAATAACAAATCAATGAGACACATTTACATATTATATTCCTTTGTAGAATACAATTTCTCCTTTATTAATTCTCATTTGTATCAAATACTGTAGTTTGAACAGAATACAGTGTGTCCCACTTACCATGCTCATCATGGGTATCTTTTTAACGGTGAGAGATACGAGGTCGGTTAAATGACATCAAATGTGGAGTTTGTCAAGGCCAACTATAATGTGAAAAAATATTTTGATAAAATCTATTCGTTTTTGTTTTATACGCAAAAAACAGATTTTGATCATTTTCATGTCTCCTCCGTATCTTCTTTATTTATGAAAATATCCAAATAGGAATTTCACATTCATATGGCAGTTTTTCAAAGTGATTTCGAAAAAAAAATGAAATTTATACCAACTCTTCTAGAATTTGAGATATCATCACCAACTTTAGTTTTTCAAATGTAGGTCATAGCTCACTATGACTTAGTTACAAATAACTTTTTTTTCTCTTTCAGATGATGTGTCGCAATAATAATTTTGTGTTGATAACAACGGAGTTATCGTCATTTATACAAAAACAAAAAATTGTTTGGAAGTCGCCATCTTGAATTTATGAATTTTAACAAAAAAATCATGATCTCCGACCTCAAAAACCCCCACTTACTAATTTTGAATGGAATCGGACCAAATCTTGTCCGCCATCTTGGAGCAGCCATTTTTTTTAATTTCAACAAAAATTCCATAATGTATTGTCACCGAAATTATGAACACCTGCCAAATTTCAAGTCAATCGGAGTTATGGAATTTTTGTTGAAATAAAAAAAAATTGCTTCTCCAAGATGGCGGACAAGATTTGGTCCGATTCCATTCAAAACTGGTAAGTGGGCGTTTTTGAGGTCGGAGATCATAATTTTTTTGTTAAAATTCATAAATTCAAGATGGCGGCTTCCGAATATTTTTTTTTTGTATAAATGACGATAACTCCGTTGTTATCAACACAAAACTATTACTGCGACTCATCATCTGAAAGAGAAAAAAAAAGTTATTTGTAACTAAATCATAGTGAGCTATGACCTACATTTGAAAAACTAAAGTTGGTGATGATATCTCAAATTCTAGAAGAGTTGTTATAAATTTCATATTTTTTTCGAAATCACTTTGAAAAACTGCCATGAGAATGTGAAATTCCTATTTGGATATTTTCATAAATAAAGAAGATACGGAGGAGACATGAAAATGATCAAAATCTGTTTTTTGCGTATAAAACAAACACTAATAGATTTTATCAAAATATTTTTTCACATTATAGTTGGCCTTGACAAACTCCACATTTGGTGTCATTTAACCGACCTCGTATCTCTCACCGTTAAAAAGATACCCATGGTGAGCATGGTAAGTGGGACACACTGTATATACCTATAACTGTTACATTGGAAATTTTGGTATGGATATTTTCAAACTCACTATCGCAGCTGCTCTCGATAATTTCATGTCAAATAGCTGTCAGCCGATATTTCGCTGCTATGGTAATTATCATCTGCATTTATCGAAACCATATCTACCAAGATTTTCATAGTAACTTTCTCAAAGAAAAATCGTCCGGGAAGTGAGCACTCGGACGGTTGCCGAAAAAACTTTTTTCCTACCGTTTCCGAGATCCTCATGTTGTGCAACCTCATGTGGATGGTCACACTGTATCGTATATGGTGATTTTTGTGCAATGTTACCTATGTAGCCTAGCGCTGGTCCTCTGCTGAAGGAATTGAAGATGAAAATTGGAGCTTTGATTGTCATCAACCCATCACTGATTGCTAAATTAACTATGAGTGTGTTTGCTGGGGTTCGCAATGTCTTACACCTAGAATTTCAAAAGAAACAAACGTAATTTGTTTGATTGCATTTTTGTCAACTCTTGGAGCGCCCGAAATTGAAAATTGAATCCCTATAAACATGAGTTACCTATATAGGTACACCAGAGATAACTGTTCACTGCGTATATAAGTACCCCAATAGGTTTCAATAAAATCAAGTTGAAAAAAGGGGTTCAATATAGACATTCCTAAATATGTGATTTTTGTTTTTTTCTTATTCCAGGGTAACCATCAGACTTCAATCAAACAAGGATCAACAAACATTTCAAATCAGTAGTGCAACCTAGCTGCATTCAACAAAACTACAGAAATAAAAATTACACAACATATAGGCATCTGTAACAAGAATGAATCATTTTACAAAGATAACTGTATTGAATCATATTAGTTTGCCCTCTGTATCAAAAGGTGGCGTAAGAGTTTAAACTGGTCAAGGTTGGTAGAACTGATTATAATTTGTATTACGTCATGAGTTACTCAAGGTTACTCGCGGGGTGCGATCGAGGCAACCTTCCTCTACAAAATAGTCATCAGTTCTACCAACCTTGAAACTGGTACACAATCAAGGACTGGTTGTATACTGGGTATCCGTTTAAGGATGGACACCAGCAATATCTTTCCGTACAGAAAAAGTGTGATTCAGATTAAACAAACAATTTAATTTTCAGATTTCTAAATGTCTTATGAGGTAAACAGCTCCTATCAAAGTTTGTCCTAAAGTACATCCCCTACAGAGAGTCAAAAGTAAAAAAGTGATGATTTTTTTATTTTTTCAAGCTGCCTGCAAGGAAAAACACGGTATTTTGCTAACACTAACACCTAAGCTTCTTCAAATGGAATAGTCGTAAAATAAATTGGATTTGCATATATGTATACAGGGTGTTTCGTAACAAGAACACATGTCTGGGGTTGCGACGTTCCTGAAAAAACTGTATCAATAAAATGTCATATACAGAGTGGCCCACATTTCGTTGCCCCACTATAATCCATGAAGTCCGTAACATATGGGTGAAAAATGTATCATAAGAGTCATGCTTGGATGTTTAAAACACCTTGTTTCATATTGTTGTATATTATTGAAGAAGCTAGTGTGTTAGCAAAACATGTGGTATTTTCAAGAATTTTGTGGAATGTTATCGTTCGTGATGTTGTTTACACAAACAAAACCATTGAAGTGATGAAATATGAACATTTAGCAATGAACATTGAACTTACCTGGTGAACAGAAATACCACAAGAAAATTCCCAGTCAACCCGAAAATCATCAGAAAAATATACAAAACCCCTAGCGCGTAAAAATGACCATCATCTGGTGGAGGAAAGGTCAGCCAATGGATGTTGATATCAGAAATTTGCTCATCGTGGAACAACCCAAATTTGTACCAGTCTGCCACCGACCATTGGGACTTGAACCTTTGAATGATGTCTGATAAATTTTGAATGCAGCTGGGATTCGGATCGCACTCAGATAAGTCCGTCGAGTTTTGCGATAAACTGCTAGAGAACGCAGTGAGAAAAACGAACATATTGATAAGAATCATCTTGCCGACGTATCGCGATGAAATGTTATGATGGAAATTTTGTTTTCGACCGCTATTTTCTTGAAAGCTTCTTACGTAAAGTGAAATAAAATACACTAGGGAAAATTGTATAACGTCGTTTCTAATTCCAATAAGGCCGAAATCCCATAAAATCTAGTAGACTCAGGTCAGGATTTCAATTTGATGATGAGATCAAAACGATGTACAGGGTGGGCCCGATTGGACCCTTTTAAAGGGGAAGTCCTATTCTTGAACTAAATAGAATAGAAAACTGTTACTCTGATACGGAGGTAGATATCGATATGCGGTTCTCACCATTGGAATGGGCTTTCCCTTTAAATGTGTCCTCCTATACAGGGTGTCCCAAATTCGAGGGGTATCGTTGGGATCTCGGTAACCTTAACAGATACAAAGTCAAAATTCCGCCTCAAAATAAATTCCAAATACTTCCACGGGTAATTCCACTTTTTTTTTGGGATTTCCTCTCCTCATCTCAATAAAATAAAAATATGAATACTATTTCAATATACCTGTCGTTGAGACAAATCGGATGATTTGCCCCAAAATGTCACTGCGTTTAAAGAATTTCCCTATCAGAGAGCCTAAAAGATAAATTCACTACCTTGTCAGTGAAATTTTGTATTGAAAAAGGTTAAGAAAAAAGAAATAAAGGTATATAAAAAATATATCAAACTTTTACTTATCTTGCTTCCTGTTCAGTTGATATAGATAGAACATGGTATTCACTACTGAAATCTGAAAATGAAAATGGTAAATTCAAGATTAATCAATGACAACATCCTGTAACTCATTTCATTGCCAACGTCACCAATTGTCACTGGGAACTGAAAAGTTACGAATTTGCCATGCAAAAAATCCATTTTTATGTTGAAAACGGGAGGAGATTCGTTCCCGAAACGTCCAAAGATTAGTGAAAATTTGGTACTTTTTCTACATACCTTTATTTCTCTTCTCTAAACCTTTTTCAATACAAATTGTCACTGACAATCTAGTGAACGCAGTGACATTTTGGAACAAATCATCTGATTTGTCCTTACTATACGAATATTGAAATAATATTCATATTTTCATTTTATAGAAAGGAGGAGAAAAAATTCCAAAAAACATGGAATAATGAATGACAGTATTCTGAAGTTGAAAAATTTTACACTTCATACATTAAAAAAGGGGAGAAAAATGAATTTCATATTATCATTGCTAGTTTTTCCGCTCCATCTAATGATATGAATAGATTTGTGATTCGACGTTTCGTCTTCGAGGAGCCATCAACAACTTTGTTTTTTTAAATAGTCGAAAAAAAAATATTTGTCTCTGAAATATTCAGATTTCATTTCGGAAATCAATGGCATATTACACTTTACAATTATCCGACATTTCGGGCGGAAAAATCATCATCAGTGTTATTTGATGATGGTTACGAGGAAACGAAACGTCGGATTAAAAATCTGATGACGACATCTTGTAGAGAAGGAAAAATAGCTGCGAAAATGTCTACCTTTTTTAGTGAAATGAAAAAAAAATCATTTCTAAGAATTAGAAACTTCGAAAATAACTTTTAATTTCATTTTACTAAAGGAGATCTACCAAAATGGATTCAACTATTTCGTAGCCATTATTTCTGCCCTACAAGTTACCGTCATCAGATCTTTGATCCGACGTTTCGTTTTCTTGTAGCCATCATCTAATAACAGTGATTTTGATTTGTAGGTTCGAAACGTTGGATAATGGGCTTATATCACAAAAAAAATTCATTACATAATTCGATAGAACTCACCCAAACTAGCTCACCACCGCAAACCGTTTCTTGCTGTGAGCTCCCTACGTTTTATCAGAGATTATACACTCCCCTTTATGAAAAATTATTGAAATCCCCGATTTTTCGGACCTCTGAAAACGAGGCGATGATGTGACGTCAAAACCCTAATACTGAAACAAGACTATTCCAGACAGAGATGAATGATACATGATTTCTGACAGAGTGAATTACCGCGAGATCACAGTTGAAAGAATTAATGTATCAGTTGCCTCAGTCTCCGTCGGGCGTTTGGTATTTTCTTTTAACTATGGCGAGATGAGGTTTCTACGTCATAAGAGGGTCCGTTTTCAGAAGGTACTATTTTTTATCTCCAAAAATAAAACATTCCAGTTAATTTTTCGATCGAATTATGTCGTCAATCATTATTTATGTGTAAAAGGATCATTATAAACATGGTTTGAGTTAAAAGTTAAGGTGTACACGCCCACTGTAAAGTGTAATATGCGTTGGTTTCAGAATTGAAATTAGAGTTTATTAGGGGCAAACAATCTTTTTCGATCTTATGAAGAAACAAAGTTGATAATTGCTCCTCGAAGGCGAAACGTCGGATCATAAATCTATAATCTATCAATTGGATAGAGCAGAAAAAGTGACAACGATAATATGAAACTCATTTTGTCATATCACTTCAAATAAAGTCAAAAGAAATCGCGGAAGTTTGGATTTTTTCAAATATCTTCGAAAGTATTCGGAATTTCTGACCATTTATTCTGAGGCGGCATTTTGATCAGCATCAAATTGTGCAACTTTATCCTGATTTAACCGACTTTGTATATGTTATGGTTACCAAGTTCCCAATGATACCTCTCGAATTTGGGACACCCTGTACAGGGTCGCCATGGTTAGAGAAGCTGTGAAAATTATAATTTTCCTTCATTAATTGAGATTCATGGGGGTATTCAAATGAATAAATTATAGATTGTAACAACATCAAACTGAAAACAATTTCACCAAATTCTATAGGAATGATTGAAACATGCTTGTTTTAGAAAATGTTTTTTCACTAATGATACATTTCTAGCTTTTTAGTTCTCACTTGGCACATTTCTTAGGTCTGTTTTAAGTCGTGAGATGGATATAAGGATCCACCATATTGAATTCAGAATTGACGTAATTTTATTTTTCGTATTCTTCTCATAGCAAACCCTTTCATTGAATTTGACACTCATATCATGATGGTTGATAAGATAATTTTGTCCATTTTGTAACATTTTGTAATCTTCTCAGCCAACCCTCTCGATATGAGTATTAATCGAATCGGACTATAACCACAAATCTCTTCCATTTTGAATTCATGAATTTCGACAAAATTTCATAATTTCTGACCATACCACATAAATTCCACTTCGAAAACGGAAATGTAGAACTCTGTCACTAATTCTTGATCACCCTCTTAGTACCTTTTGGGCAATTTCCATCAAAAAAGAATGAATGTGATGAGTTCTGAGGAAATGCGTTCACTTCGTTTGGTTGGATAACATTTTCATGTAGGTATGCAAAATTATAAATGTGTCAGAGTCTACATTTCAATATAATATGTTGTCTTACTGGTTAGATATAGGTAAAGTATTTATGATGCGCTGAAACATCGAACATGCAACCTTTTATCCAAATTATATGATGAGAAATTAATATTTCACATGCAAATGCAAAACAACATAAATAATATGCAGTTTATGCTAAAAACACCGATTTTCATGGACAACATCTTCCATTATTTTGTTTTTTCTGTGACGGAAAATAAGTTTGACATTTCATCTCTGTTGACAGGTTATAAAATGTCACTTCTAATTTTTTTTCCACGGGAAAAAAGAATACTTTTTTTCCGGATATATATACCGGGTGTCCCAGTATACCTGTTCCAATGAATTATCTTATAGCAATTTCAAAAAATAAAAATTCGATGATCTCCGATGAATTTCATGATCTCCAATTCGTTCCAACTGAGAAAAACAAGAATTGTGAGTCACTTCCGTTTTGACCGGAAGTTACTCCAACTTTTTGATTTCATATATTTTTGATTTCTACTCAAAATCACCAGGAAACAAGAATTGAAATTTCAAATTGAACGAATTGCAGTATAGGCTACGATATTTTTGTAATCTTGATTTTGACTTCAATAATAATTTCAAATTATTATAATTGTAGTAGATCATGTAGTTTTCAAATTTTCATCTTTCGAAATGGTTGAGATAATCTATTGGAACAGGTATACTGGGACACTCGCTATATATATGACATGCACTGTTGATGGATGGCTTTTGTTGTGTACAGTTCCAAAAAATAAGCCAATAACACCGTCTCCGAGAAAAAACGAAGACTGCAAGTTCTTTTATCTTCCATTCGACCTCATGATTACGTAAATTACTAAACAACCACTAAATTTACAATTTGTGCATATCAATATCAAAAAAATTTAAAGGTTAAATCTGAAAATTATTATTTTCAATCACAATAGTTGCTACAACCACAAAGTACTTTTGAAATAAGTTTATATTGCATGTTTCTTTCATTATACTTTGGCTTATATCTTATTATTCATTCACAAGAACAGGTTTTTACAAACAGTGAACAATTTGACATCTCAGTAGATTTTGCTTTCTTGTTTTTGTTGAATTGAAGAGAGATCGCTCTCGCTGATTGAAAAATGTCTTTGTGTATTTTTTCTTCTTCTTGAACTTCAACTCCCCATTGGCATCTATAATGAAAATGATGGGATGAAACATTTCCAAAGAATTTGTTGGTAACAATGGCTGGTTGAAAATGACTGGTATAAATTTCTCATCAAAATTATGTTTCAAAGATTCCGTTAAATACAAACCACCCTATTCAAAAACAGGGGTTGGTGATGGAAGAGTGAAAGCTTAGGGTTGTATGTATTTCTCAATGCCAAATCATAATAAAATGAATAAGAAATTCTGCCAAATAAATGTATAATAAAAATTCTGGGGTGGCCACACTCAATACATTGGGGTTTGAAAAATATGTAGTTTACGACCGATTCTTAGACCATCATACCATAATATGCACAAAATTTTCCGTAAGAAAACAAACACTGTGATATTGGATGGATATTGTGTTTTGAGAAGAAATGTGTTATAGCTGTCGCTTGCGTTTGAAAATATCCTTAATTTATTTCGATCAGTTT